ATTAAATGCATGAGTTTCTCTTTCCAGTATTACATGATATGATATGCTATTATATTATATGATATACTACAGTATTGTTTGGACTGGCCACGTTGATGGCTGTGGAATTAAAACACGATGCTTTGATGTTTTTTAAGTGCATAAAGGGAGGCATAGGTTAAGTTGTTATAGGTGCACAGATGCTAAAAACAGGTCATTTTGTGGGTCATAAGAACCTTGAAGGACCTAAGATATATCTGCAGGTCAAGTTTGGTTGATCACATCCTGAGCTTGTAGGACAAATTGGCAGACAGAGAAAGAAATACTAATACAAAGATTTTGTATATTATAGCTCCTCAAACCAATTCATGTTGCTGTGAGGAACAATTTGATGTTGTGGAAAGATAACAGTGCTGTGGTGAGTGAAATAAAAATGCAAAACACACACAGGGATATAGTCAAACTGAGCATTTAGTGTAACATTACATAGATATACAATAATTTCAGGGCAACAAATACTGCAAAGAACAAAATAAACACAAAATGCCAAAGACTTTCAGACTGCATAGATGGCTCTGAGGATTCTTTTTGGTATCTAAATATCTATAAATGGAGATGAATACAGTAAAACAAGTTATATAGCCTAAAATACTGACTGGGCAATGCTACCTTTATTGTCTATTGTTACTTCAATAAATCAATCCCCTTAACTAATTTTAAACAGCAACTATTAACTTCCTTCATTAGTTAACACGCAAGTTTGATAAAGACATAAACATGTTTTACATTTAGATCCAGCATCATGTATCTTAACTGTTTTTCTCTACAGTACACGTTACAAGAGGTTAGCTAAAATCAGCCCTTGCTATGTGCTATATATATATGTAATAGTGTATACTGGCGTGCAAATTTACTAAGTGAAAAGAAGAGAAGAAGAGAAGAGAAAAGCTAAAAAAAAAAAAAAGCAAACAATACTGTAACTTCTGTAAGTATTTCAGTTTTGTTTTTTCTACCATTTGTTAACAGGGAAACTGTAACGCTGACAAGTAAAAGGCTTTCTTCACTGTGTTACCATAAAGTAGAAACATTCACATGTAACCTAATGAATGCTAGGCTGGCCTGAGGTATGTAGAGCAGCCTCAGAATAAAAACAATAAAGGCAGATATAAATATGTTGTAATTAACAAATTCATGTTGAGGGTTTCAGTGCTTTCAAAAGTTCCACAAAGCATCTCATTCACAATTACAGCAGAAATACACTGAGAGACAGCCTGCTGTGCATTTCCTTTTAAATGATATAATGGATCAATAATCAGGAGCAATAAGCTAAACAGTGACTTTTTGTAATGAGAAACACCAAACATAGTCTGGCTCTAACTGCTAAACTTGTAACTGGGAACATTTCAATCCAATCACCTTGTGTCACACTGAACTGTGCACATTTTTGCTCCTCGCTAAACAAAATAAAATATCTCCAAACATCAGCTGGAGTTGTATGAAATTGTGATGGGTATTTCGCAACACTGTTACTAGATACTTTTACTTTTGGACTTTAACAAACAAACAACACCAACACAAAAAAGCAATGAAGTTACAAAACAAATATTCATGAGCTCTCGAAAAGAAGACGTACAGTTGCATACGAACATTCAGGCACACAGAGGAAAATGGCGTATACTGTTACAATTAGAGATATTTTATTTAATACAGACACTGTGGCGTGTGCATGTCTTCTTCTAAAGGCAGGAACTCTAGGCCTTCGAAGCCAGCCGAAGCAGCAAGTGGTATTAGTTTGCCAGCTGAAATTTGACCAGCTGACAAATACTGTGAACAGACTTGTAAAAAGAATTTATATGATGCAAGAGATGGATATAAAGACATGAAGGCACTTCAAGCATGAAAATCTACTATTCCAAACCCTTATGTGTTTGAAAAGGAGCTGCAGGAAGGTTTTGCTGACACGTGAGTGAATGAGCATCATGCATCACTGAGACCTAATATGCCAACATGGTCCTGACGTACACCCTCATAACAAAAGTCAACATCTACAGAAGTCATGTGGTGACTGGGTCAAGAAATCAAAACTGGGTTTTTGCAGCTACAGTCACCAAAGACGTGTTTGGAGACAAGGAGGAGCAGCTTTTCATATAGCAGACCCCCACAACCAATCTGCAAGGCAGAGCGGGGGGAAAACCATTCATAAATCCCTTTTACAGTCCCCTCTAAAAATCCGCTGTGGCTACGCCTTGTGTCAATGTAGTTTTCTATAAGTGGGACTTTTCCATCTGTGCTCAACGAATGAGTGTGCTGTGACCCATTTGTGCCCACAGCTGATGGTTCTGCCTTATTTGTGTATCCCCTAAACAGGTTAATGCTTTTTAAAAAGTCCTAACACTTATTATCAAATGTAAGCATTGAAGTATAAGACTGAGGTGTAATTAAATATTAGTGGTTTGTTTTAGTCTTGAAGTGAAAAACTGAAACTCTATATTGTATCTATATTTGTATATACAAACACTTACCGTAGTCGAACGAATGCAGCCTTAGATACCGCATCAAGCTCGATGCATAAAAGAATCATTTCACATAATTGCTGCACACAAAATTATAAAATTATTGCCTGTGCAGATTTTGCGTGTGCTGTTTCTTTTACATATAGTCTGGCAAACGTCTGGCTTCACACATGGACTTACAAGATAGCTGCATTTGAAATGTCACATATTTTGCAAGAATACGGTTGCTCGCCCGTGTGTTTTTTTCATGTGAACCAACAGAGTAGAACGACTCCTGAGACATTTCCCGCATGTTTTGCAAGAAAAGGGCTTCTCGCCTGTGTGGATTCTGACATGAGCATCCAGTATTGACTTCTGATTAAATCTTTTACCACAGATGTTACAAGAAAATGGCTTCTCGCCCGTGTGAGTTCTTTTATGGACGTTCAGTATTGACGTCTGGTTAAATCTCTTTCCGCAAATGTTGCAAGAATACGGCCTCTCGCCTGTGTGGATTCGTTTATGAACGTTCAGTATGGATGTCTGATTGAATCTTTTACCACAGATGTTGCAAGAATATGGCCTCACGCCCGTGTGGATTCGCAGGTGTCTGATTAATTTGGAATTAAATGGAAATGTTTTTCCACAAGTGTCACATTTGAAAGACTTTTTGCTTGCGTGTGTTTTACAGTAATTCATCAACATTGCAGGATTATGTATATGATTGCCTTTGTGACTTATCTTCTGTGGTTTTGTCTCTGCATTTCCAATTGACATACAATCCTCAGGCTCGTCTTCTTTGTGAGGGCTTTTAGATAAATAGGAACTGAGAGAAAAGAGCTGGTGGTTGGTATTTAGCTCTGCTTCCTCTGAGGTTTTAATAGATATTTTGACTAAGGAATGTTTTTCTGTTGCACTTACTAATTCACTCGGATTCAATCTCAAAGTCTGATCTTCAGCGTTGTCGCCTTTCTCATAAGTAAGAGGCACAATGCAAGTATCAGTCTCCTGCTTCAGTACAAGATGCTCTCTGTCCTGACTAGCGCAGAGTTCCTCTTTAACCTCTTGATCCAACCTGGGGTTCCTCTCCTGGAAAATGGGCTGCTGGTCAGAGGCAAGAACCTCCTCCTCTTTACAGGCAAGCTGATGTGGGAGCTCTGGAGGGATAAGTGAAACAAACAAACAAACAAACAAACAAACAAAAAGTTACACACTGACAGAAACTACACAGATTTTGCTACCCACCTAAAAGTTCATAAATATTCCATATACTGGTGTGTGCAATCCAATGTCAGTAACAGAAAAAAGTAAAATAAAGAAAACTACCCAATAAAACACGTTTGAGGTGGAAGGGATTTGAAACAAATAAATAGCATTGTAGTTTCCGCTCAATTTCATGTTGCCAAATCTGATATTTTAAACAATGTTGTAGAATAAATTTCAGATTTTCTTCCGTTTTGATTGATCAAAAAACTAAAACATTTAAGAATAGAAAAAATGCTTAGCAAACACCGACTCCCAGTTTTTCTCTCACGCTGACAAAGATTATAGACTGAGGTCGGTTCGACACGTGCTGTGGTAATAGAGGCACGTTCATATTCCCATCCTCACAACCCTGTTGGGATAAAGAAAACAAACTAATAGGACTTTAAACGAACAGGATCTAATATAAGTCTGAAGCCTCCATTATTTAACTGCAAATTATATCAAACGTGTAATTAAGGTGTTGCGGACCTATCCTGGGTAACTTCACCGCAGGTTTGCAGACGATGTCCAGCAGCCTGCGCTGACGGCTGATCTCTTCTTCGTACTCGAGGATAGTTTTTTCAAAAGCGCTGAATATTTCTTTAGCAGCAGCAGCTAGTCGCTCGTTGAAAAACTGTCTAAAATGCTGAACTGAAGGCATTATTGCCTTGTTACACATATATTGTTCCCACGCACAAGTCGATGTTTACGCCACCAGCCCAGTTTCTGTTTACTTCCGCTCGGTGTCACACTAGAAGATCCGGCTTTGGAAGCGAGTTCACCCTTTCATTCTTCTCCCTCCTAGTAGTTGATCTATTCAAGTCGCTTTCACGGGGACTTTTAGTTATTTTTTTCTGCGCTGCTGTAATTATACTACGTATCTTTAAGACACTTGGCATGAGGTAGTTTCGTTAAAATGTAACGGTGGACATGCCTGAGCATCCACTCAAAGTAAATGTCTCATCAGTAGTTCTCTTTCTGAGCATGAATACTGCTGCCGTCTTTGATCTTCTCACTCTCCACGTTACTTCCACTGGCTCGTACAGTGTTCCGACACTGAAAGTCAGGCAGCTCTTCGTTCCGCCTTTACTTGTTGCCTTTTCATTTAGCAAGAAGGCTGTGCCTCTACTATCTATGATCTTACTCCGCTTTTGGTATATAGTCTACTTTAAATATGATCAATATTCATAGTACTAAAAGTCTTTTCAAAGACTTTTGAAAGTCTTAACACAAAGCCCGTTCCTCTGCTTCAAGGGGGAAGTATTTCTGGACGGAACTACGTCCTGCAGCAAAGGCTAACTTACGCTAAGCTATGAGGGGTAGCTGCTGTGGTGAAGGGGGATACGAGATAAACAAAGACAAAACTGTTACGTTTGGTTTTAGGTCGGATCTGGTTTCATCTCGGTTTCGGTATATGTTTGGTAACTTCCACAGAATCTAAATGGGTGCACACTACTGTGCCATTTGTAGACAAACAACATTCAACGGGAAGGGACACATTTTCGGAAAAACTCATCAAAGTAGACTCAGAGTGGTTCTCCTTAAATTCACAGAAAAGGTATGCAGATTGTAGATTTTTTTTTAACTGATATTTGATATTGAGAGTAGTCTGTGTTTTGTGCAGCATGATCTGACCCTGGTAGAAGTGATGGAGGCAAACTGTTGTTAAAATCCTAGATTGAACTCTTTTCCTTCTGAGTAACATTAAAAAGTATGATTCCCAAGTTGTGTAGCGAAATATTGTGAGTCCATTATCTTCTTTATTATATGTATATGATTTTAGGTCTACAGAACGGCCACCATGAGGTGCGTCAGTATTCATAATAATCATAACTCTGATACCACCAGCACGTCACGCGTAATGTGCCCTGCTTCTGATTAAGTAGCTTGAGATCATCCTTTCATATCTAATGCACGATACAACTTAAATAACTTTAAAGCATCATAATTATTATTATTAATATTACTATTATATTTTTATGATTGTGTATTATATATTTTAACAATTTGTTTTTACTCGATATACGACATCTGTATATATCATTATGATATTACCGTTATATTTCTTTGAAATCGGACAGTAATATAGTCTGATTTATTATCATGTATATTACATATATTTTTCTTTATCAGTAAGGATTCAGACTTGTTCCCTAAAACAATTTATTTGAACAAATATTTAAACAGTTCATTTATATATGTCCTCAAATACTGTAATGTACATACTTGCATAGTATGTCTTTGCATGTCAATAAATTTGGTCTATTTTTTTTGTATGTACACAGTAGTTGGAGATTTGCACATGTTAGTAGCAGTTTGGGGATTTTCTTGTTATTTATTCCTGTCCTTTTTTACCAGTGAAATAAATACATCCTCATTATAAAGTTGTTTTCAAGTCTTTGAGAGTTTTATCACATTATCTTGTCCAATGCAGCCTTGATCTGAAACAACACAAAATCGACAATAAACACTGACATACTGCCATTAGTAAATGTCATCTTATTTAGAGATGGGAGTCAACAAGGCCAATCTGAGAACTACTGTTAGCTTTTCCTGAATCAGCTCTTTGTAAGCATATATATAAATATATAACCCTATATAATTCAACAGCACCACAAACTACACTCTCCAAACTGATTATATATATTTTTTAAATTTGTATTTTTTAATTTGAATAATAATAAAAAGTAATATTTAAATGCAACAGTAGAATTGTGTGAAACTGTTTTAGCTCCAATCAGAGTCTAACTTTGTCAGTTTTCTATGTCTGCTTCATCCACTGTCTCCCAGGTGAAGGAAGCTCGCCGAACACTTAAGAAACCCCAAGTAGAAAAGTTTGATTGCACCCAGCACAAGCAGACATTCTGGTGCTACTGCTGTGGGTGTGAAATTGAGAAAAACGTTACAGACGGCAACATGACTGTCCTTTATGGAGGCCTGTTAGAACACATGGCCACGTGAGTCTTACTTATAAGGTTTTATTCACTGTATTTTGTTTTGTCTGGAACCATTTTGATTGCCTTTGATTGCTCAGATTTCTTCAATTTCCTTTGCTGTTTTAAAGCAATCCATGTCTGAAAAAGTGTTTTAACACATTTTCAAAAAACTGTTTTGTTTTGTTTTTTCATATAAACTGCATTTAAATACGTATTACTTAACTGGCTGTGTATACACATGCTGTTGTAAAGAAGAAGGATAGGGTTAATTGCTTACGTGTGATGAAACAGGAAAGATCCTTAAGTGACTGATAAGACACAATCAGGAAGAAAACGCTGACGCCTGAATTACTGTTTGCATTTCTTCCTGTTTATGTGCCAACTTGCAAGTTGAGTTTTTAAAATATCTTGAAGATGTTTCCCAAACCTACACATGCAACAAAAATATGTAATATGTCCAGAGGTCACCAAGACCCATTTGACCACGAAAGATACATTTCTCAAACATTTGCTGAATGAATATAGTACACCTGCTTTATTTTTTCATATAAATTTATATGAGAGTGTATTTAAAGTTTTTCAATTATATTTTATTTCAGCCCAGAACACAGGAAGAATACACACAAGTTCTGGTGGGACAATAAAGCTGACCCGAAGTTTAGAGACAAAGTCATCGTCACAGAAGAGGAAACGGAAAGGTAGACCTACTGAGCCAAAAGTATTCAGACATTATTAAAGTTTGTTTGTAAAATTAAATGTATCTGCATTGACTGTTCTGTATTTTTCTTTAGGTTTAAAGTTGAGGTGGCAAAGGCATTGGAATCATTTGTGGAGAATGAGGATGAATACATTAAACAGGTATTGCAACATTGTTTTTAAATGAACTACATATAGCATTCTGTTTTTGGGGTAGTGAAGCACAGTATTGATAAATGCTAATATAGTTACATATATAGAGGTGTTTTAAATGTTCAGTTCAATTTATTGCTGAATTATCCAGCATCTCAACATCTGAAAGTCAGCTCTGAAATGCAGATGTAGTTACTTAGAGACTGTTCTCATCCATAGAGTCATTTTTCAGCATTATTAGTGTCTTAAGGAAGGGTACATTATCCAGGTTTGAAACCTTTTGTTGGTAATTATTTTTTGTTTTCTCTCTTTTTTTGTGACTGCAGCATGCTGAGCATATACGAGCCCAGGAAAAGCATCGCCAGGAGGTCTTACAGTCGCTTTTAGAGGTTTGTTTTCCAACGATGCTGTGGCAGTATCCATCACTGTGGCATTAACTGGTGTTTGTTTGCACGTAAGATTGCAAATTCCACCATTCTTCAGCTAAATAATTGTAGGCTCCTGTTTAACTCTTGAAGAATAGTGTGGCTGGTTAACCTTTTGGTGTAAGAAGAAGGGCACGAGGTTTATATTAACATTTTGGGTAATGTTGTGTGTAAGGATTGTGATGATAAAAGCTGAAATGAAACATGATTAGATGTCAGACTTCCTCTGTGAACCACTGTTGGCTTTTCCTGAATCAATATCAGCTTGATGCAGAGCCTGAGTTGTTAAACGGACCCAACGGCACAGACTCATCTGTAGAGAACTCTGTCAGGTAAACCATTGTCACATCTGCAACACTGTAGCTATTCTACACTCTCATCAGTCTCACTTCAAATGACTTGTGTTTGTGTTTGGGGATCACCTTGTCCTTTGGGCAACAGCTCACAGTTTATGTGTCAAGGATCAGACCAGCAGGCGGGGAGCAGCTTTGTGGACTCGATGGGTGAAATGCCGTGGACTCCAGCAGGACACGGCCTGACATTCATAGGTTATCAGGTAGACTGGCAGCTTTTATTCAAAAAGTATTCACTCATCTATACATATATATATGCAATGTTATCATACAAATGCAATGACCTCACATGAACGCTTTTTTTCTCTCATACAGGATTCATCGAACAGTGGAAACGTTCATACAGGTACTGTGATGTATGACTTGAGGTGGCGGTGAAAAAAAAAATATATATGTGGTTGTGCAAAACAACTGCTTTTGAGAGTTACACAGAACTTTTACTGTTCCTGCTATTTATAAAACGAATACATATAAATTCAGTATATATGCTCACTGGGAACATTATTAGATTCTCCTTACTAGTACCTTAATTCCTGGTAGCATAGATTCAACAAGGTGCTGGAAAGATTACTCAGACATTTTGGTCAATATTGAGATGATATCTTGTGATCTTGTCCCCAAACTTGTACATCAGACTTAGTCATATAGTCATATTAGTCATATTGCATGATGAATTAAAAATAAGTGCTTAATGATGTTGACCTAACTGCATTGTGTATCAGTGGACAAACTTTGGTTTCTGTTAAGCTAATACATTGTTTACTGGTTTCCTGTTGTGTTTTTCAACCTTTCTGAAGCTTCTGCATGAAACTATTTTGTCTGCTTGATGAAGCATTTTAACCTGTGTGTGCTGTAGGTGCTGTCCCTCCTTGGCTCCAAGATGATCCTGTAGAAGGGACCTCCAGAACTGCTGCAGAGCCAGAGATTGGCCCATCACTCCACGAGTTCCTGAAACATAGTAAGGACGATGCTATCATCAAATGACATGTAGCAGTGTCAAGCATTTGTTGCATCACTGTCATTTATAAGTAGCATTTTCGTAAACACTAGAGCTACAATCATGAAGCTGCTGTTGCTGGAGTTAGTGTGAGGAATTAAAAATAACATATCCACATAGACTTGTATAAAACCAGTTAAAAAAATCTGCCTGTAATGGGAGTATAATGACATCTCGCTTTTGCCAGAGGAGCAAGAGAAGCTGAGGAAGCTTCCTCCGAACAGAGTGGGGGCCAACTTCGATCACAGCTCACATACAGACGCCAACTGGCTTCCTTCCTTTGGTAGAGTGTGGAACAGCGGTCGACGCTGGCAGTCCAGGTTAGTTGACAAAGCTCTTCATTGCACCTGGTTTCCATATATGGTGTTTTGGGACATGTTTGGGCAGAGGAATGACTACAGAGACAGGAGAAAATATCATTCAGATATTTTCAGTGTTTTATGTTTGCACTGTTAGCCAATAGGCCACATGATCCTCAATGTGTCTAAAATCTATGGTGTTTATATTTGTGTTAAATTTGCTTTCATGGGGATGAAATCATGCTATCACTTTTTAAATGTTAAAGATCTCATCAACACAAGGGAAATATAGCCCACCTGTTTAGATTCATACAGAAGATCAAAATATTGTTTAATATCCACCAGATTCTTGTCTGCAAGATGCTGATGCATTAAACGTTTTAAAGTGTGACAGTCGCACGTCAAAATGACCAGTGATGTAGGAAAAGCTAACCTTCAGTGGACTTCATTTTATCATTGTTGTACTGTAGAAGATGACTTGAATACTAACGCCATTTACTGCAAGTCAGACAATACTAAGTTTTGTTTCTGCATTTTTTATTTAGTGTGTAATTTTGTATTTTATCACCTGGAAACTCAGGAAAGCTGCAAAAAAAAGCCTGAAACAGTTTAGCACTTTACTGCTGAGCCAAATTTGTCCATATAGGTTTTTTTCTGTTGTTTGAGATTCAACTCCAGTAAATTAGCTTCTCTTGTCAATGCATGTGAATATGTTTTTGTTTTTCCCACAACAGGCACCAGTTCAGGCAAGAGGAAGGGCAGAAGCACAGACAGAAGAGGAGGAGGGAACATGGCACAGAAGGGTCAAAGAAGATAAAAGCAACAGATCAGCTGAACACTTAATATTTAGCATGGCGTGTGAGAATAGAGAAGTGATAGTGATGTATATAGTGTGTGACTTGTTACTTATGGTTATAATGAGTGTTTAAGGAGCTGGACTGGAAATGTTTAGGTTGATAAGACACCTGTACATGCATGGCAGTACATGTAATTGTATTCAAACATCTTTTCAAAAACCCAAATTTCAAGTATTGCTATAAAGACATTCATTTTGTATTATAAGTATTGGCTATTCTTTATTAAAGAGAAGTAAGCTCTGTTTTTTGTTTTATTCTTTAATAAAAAAAAATTAACTGCATGTTGCACTTATAGTATAAGTGAGGACATTCACTTATTTAATCAACTGTAAAGACTTTTATCAAGTCCTGGATTCTGATCAGCAGTTTGCTTATGCATAGATCTGAGGGCAATACGACTGTTACAGCAAGTAAACAGAAGGGGGCGCAAGGAGCTAAACTAAAAAGCACCTTTGTGTGCCAAGATGAAGCTAACACAGGCATGGTGCAGTTTGTCATTTTTAATGATACGGTTCTTTTCTGTCTTTATGTGACAGGAAAACGTATGTGATTGAATACTACTGTGCTTGTTGAAGCAATGCAACCGTGAAAAATAATACACATTGAAAGAAATCTCCGTCCCGGGTC